GCACATTAAGGTCTCTTGTTATAATCGTGTTATTGCTTATTTGATTTTTCATTTCTGTTAATATTTGTTTTGTATAGTTGGGTGCTCCTGAATTTGGTGCATAGATTGTTATCTCTTCCTCTTGAAGTTTTCCCTAACTAGTATGTAGTGATCTTCTTTATCTCTTTGGATCATTTTTGGTTTGAAGTTCACATTGTCTGCAAACAGAATAGCTACCTCTGCTTTTTGGGGGGATCCTGTTGCATGGAATATTGTTTTCCATCCTTTTACTTTCAGTCCATGTGTTTCCTTTTGGGTTAGATGGGTTTCTTGTATACAGCATATAGTTGGATGTTGTTTCTTGATCCATCTTGTCAGTCTGTTTCTTTTAATTGGTGAATTTACATTAATGTTTGCAACTAGTATATGTTGGTTTACTTTTGACATGTTATCTTTCTGCTGCTGATTCTTTACCTTTTCACTTTGTTTAATTGTTTGCCTTGCTTAGTCATTTTTCCTATGTCTATCTAGAGTGTTCGTTAGTCTTCTTTGCAGGGTTGGTTTGGTGGTCATTAAGTCCTTCAACTTTTCTTTATTTTGGAAGTATCTTATTTCTCCATCGATTTTGAAGGATAGTTTTTCAGGGTACATCACTCTGGGTTGGAAGTTGTTTTCCTGTAGGATCTGAAATACTTCACTCCATGTTCTTCTTAACTTGTGTTTGTGTTGAGAAGTCTGCTGTGATTCTGACAGGCTTTCCTTTATAGGTGATCTGTCTCTTCTCTCTAGCAGCTTTTAATGTTCTATTCTTATGTTGGATTTCTGGAATGTTGATTATTATTTGCCTGGGTTTAATTTTGTTTTGGTTATGGCTATTTCTGAGCTCTATATGCTTCACTGATCTGTATGTCAGTTTTCATTTTCATGTTTGGGAAATTTTCAGCTATTACTTCTGTAAATAGAATCTTGATATCATTTGTGTTGTCCCCTTTTTTGTTTATATCTATCAATCGTATGTTGTTTTTCTCTGCATCATCTTGCAATTATTGAATTGTTATTTCCTGATTCCTTGTTATTTTTAAAATATCTTTCCTTTCCTATTCACTAGCTGCAATCTTGTCTTCAAGGTCTGAAATTCTATCTTTACTTTTGTTCAGGTAGTTTTGCCAACTTTCAATGGAATTTTTGATTTCCAGTATATCTCTTTAAATCTGCTTCATGCATTTTGTTTGTTTCTTATAGTGTTCATTCAAGGTTTCCATCTTTTTGCATTGTTCCTCTAATTTTTTAAACTATGTCTTCTTTAGATGTGTTCAACATTTCTTTCATTACATTTATCATTTTTTTTTAACCTGGGAGATTATTTCTGATCTGAGTTCTTTTATAGCTCCCTGAAGTTGTTTCTTTATTTCAGTTGTTATCATTTCAGATATTTCAGGTGTATGGCTTCCATTTTCTTCTGTGTCCATGTTTACTAGGCTTGCTTGGATTGTGCTGGGAGTTTGAAATTGCATTTTGCTCTTTTGTTTTGTCATTTTCCTATATTTCTGCTTTTTGATTCATGTTTCAAAGCTTCCCCCACGTGCTGAGAATCACCTCATCCACTTTTGACTCCTGGGGAAAACTGCAGGCAATTGCTAGCCACTTGGAGGTCACTGGGCCTGGCCCAGTTAGGCCTCCAGGGACTTCTCATGTGTCCTTTGGTGATTTGGGATGCTGCTCATGGTTTTACTGGCTGGGAGCAATGTGCCAAAGCTTTCCTGTGTGTTGGGATTCAACTCACTCACGTTTGGCTCCCAGAACAGAATTGAGGCCCTTGCTATCCACTTAGAGGTCACTAGGCATGACCAATGAATTTTTTTAGTGGTCAATACAGTGAAGAATGATATGAAATTCATCTCCTTTGAATGAGATCATTGTAAAGTCATATTAAATATTTTATATATCTTTATTTTATTTGTATTTTAAAGAAAGCAAATAAAGCAGAAAAAAGCCAATCAAAACAAACCAGTGTAAGTGACAGGGACTTCAAAACAATACAAAATCAACAATGTTTAAATTATTGTCCTCAAAATGGCTGCAGATATCTTCAGACATAGTAAAAATCAAACAAAACAGAATAAAATATAACCAATAAAAGCAAAACATTGAATGCAATAAAGGACTTCAAAACAAGACAGTAGTAAATCCAAAATGGCTACCATAATATATTCTGTTATTTTGAAATAGTTGCCCATGCCATCAAATATAATAAAATGAAACAAAACGAATTAGAACAAAACCCAACCCAACAAAATGATGAAAATGATACAAGGCTTCAAAACAAGACAATAGGAAGTTAACAATGCTACCACCTTCAGAAGAAAATTCCCCCATAGATGCTACATTGCTTATTGTTATCCTCCAAATAGTTGATCAGACAACTAGCTTTTGCAAAGGCAGTGAAGCACTAAATATTACAAACATTAAATTGTATTTTACCTCATTAGCTATCACTGACGCATATGTTTCTCTGGATGAGCAGATCACTTCTGAGGTGGGGTGGGTTTTGTGTTGGCTCTTCTTATTTCCCAGCCTGAGCACCTGAAACAACTGACATCTCGTTCTTCCCCTACAGCCCTGTGCATGGTGCCAGTTACCAGGGAAGACTTGCTTCTTAGTGACTACTTATTCTCCCTTTGCATCCCAGAATCAAAGTAGGTTACATACTGAAAATAACAGGAGAAACCCCAAACTGAATTATACTGAATAAGAGAACAGGAGAGATTTGCCTTCTTCCTCCTATTTATCTTTTTTTCTCCTGCAACACACTTTGTCTTTGGGCAACTTTGGAATGTTTATTATGCCAACTGAATGATCTCAGACTTACTTTACATAGTTCCAAAACCAAAGAAGGTGAGATATTTTCAGACTTAAAAACTCAAGGTGAAATTTTGATGGATGAGTCCAGTTTCACACATGCAAAAATCTTGAATATGTTATTCACAAGGCATCAGTGAATGCCAAGCTCTTGCATAACCAAAAATGTCCAGATGTGAGACACCCATTTTTCTCATTTATGAAAGGAAAATTTGTTGTATATGAAAATGGCTTGTATATATCATGAAAATACTTTCTTGAAAATCAGTGAATCAAGGTCTCTGATAGACGAATCATTCTTTGCAAAATTAGAAAAAGTTTTAAGGATTCATTCAAATTCACACCACCAGAGTTTCAGAAATGCTTGTGGCATTCAAGATCATTTTAGCAGACTGAAGTGCTATGCTTGTCACTGAAGGGATGAAGTTTCTCATGTTGCTTCATTGCATAATGCCTGAGATGAAACAAAATTGAGAGGAAGTAGTATGGCACTCAGTAAGAAGTAATATTTTGTTGGTGGCTGTGGAAAGTCCTGGTTGAGTCTCAGACCTATACTGAGCACCCTTAGGAGAACAAATTTTTGTTTTAGTTTTACATGGTTCTTTTGTAATTACATTCCTTTTATAGGAACATTATTTTAGTAATGATGGATATTGCTGATGAGCAGGACCCTGAAGTCAATTTAGCATTTTAGTTTGGTTTTCTCCAAAATCAGTTTCTGAGAGAAGGATTCAAAAGCAAGAGGTTTATTGAAGAGGTGATCCTAGGAAAGCAGAGGCGTGGGAGGTAGGATATTAGTGAAGCTTAGGTTATCAGATAAAGGGGGCAGTGGAAATCCAAGTCATTGAGAAATTCTGGAAATGATGTAGAATATGCCCCAAAGTTATCCTTCATGGAAGGGCAAGGAGGATATGGCAGAAGGGAAGCAGCATGCCATGAAGGGGCATGCTGCAGATAGTGACATTGTAAGGACAGAATTACTTTCAGGGAAGCACTTTGGAGAGGAGAATGAGTCTGGAAAGGGTAAGAAGAAATCCTGCACACAGGAAGATAAACAGGAAGCAGCAATGAGAACCCTAAGGATGGAAGAACATTTGAAGTCTTGATTCAATGGTTATGGGAGAGCACTCAGTTAATCATAGCCACCTATCATTGCCAATTGTCCAGTATCCACAGAATGGTTAAACATTGATTTTCAAGTAAATAACTTTCCTGTTGCCCTCCATTTGATGCTATCCTTGATAACTGCTCCTGGTGGACCAAGAAACAAGAAAGGAAGACAAAAGAGAGGAAGAGGACAGAGAGGAAAAAGAAGAGGAAATGGAAGGAGGAGAAAAGAGAAGTGATTAAGAAGGAAGAAAAGGGTAAAAGACAATGTAGAGTAAAAGATCCCATGAGGGTCCCAAGTTTGTAAGAGTGGCTCTGTGGATTAATGCTAAATTGAGTGTCTTAGTCACTTTGCCATCATCGGACACCAAACCTGATACCCGCAATTTAAAGGAAAGAAGGATTAATCTGGCTCCTAGTTTAATCCATAGTCAGCTGATTCCAAGCAAAAACAGCAGAATGGAAGGGAAGGGTGTGGATGGAGGACAGTGGCTCATCTCATGGCAGCCAGGAAGCAGAGTGTAAGGAAGAAGGCAGAGAGGGATATTTCTTGTTCCAGGTCATTCGTGCGCCATGATCTACATCTTCCAATCAGACTCACAATCAGTACAGCACCAGTGTGATCCAGTCACTTCCCAAAGTCCCTCCTCTGCACACGTGAACCTTTTAGGGAACAGTCTAGATCTAAAACCATAACTCTGAGCCAAGTGTTTTCCTTCTATACCACATCAGAAAAGGGGAAATGGATGTGAAAGTGACATTTACACAAAGCTAAATTTATTCTCATATTCCATTTTTTAAAGATGTTGATGTTCAAATTTTCTTTCTGTAGCAGTAGGAAAGCCAGATGTAATATTTGATGGTATTTTTAAAACTACGAAATACTCTCTCAGGCCAAAATGAAGAATTTGAAGCTTCATGTTCTTCACAGCAAAAATCAGAGAATATATTTTGCTTGTATGGAAAATTCAGAGCCCTGGAACCACTAATTTCATGGACTGGCATGTTCCTTACATCATTCTGAAGAGTCAATAATTTCGACTTCGTCATCTTTAGCTGCCTTTAGAATGCTGAGAGTATAGTAGAGTGGATCAGGGCCCAGGCTATAGAGATGCTCTGACTCCCTTTGTGACCCCTTAGTGTCCATGAGAAGTTTTTGGGTCGTTTAAACTTATGTCTCAATTTACTCATCTGGAAAACAAATGAGACAATGTTAACATTTTCCTCATCAAATAAGTGAATATATATGGAGATCAATGTACATCTGGAACAAAATCTGCCCCCCCCCATTAAAGATATAATAAGTGCTACAGTTAACTAGAGATCCTGCTGTGCATTACTGGAAATACCTGAATCATACAGCTAGAAATTCCCCGCATTAAATTTCTTTGTGAAATAATTCCTTGATATAGACTTATTTGTTCTCTATACATAAGAACAGATAAAAAAGTTTTTAAAGTAAGGTATTCAATGACTAAACATAATTTTAGACACTGAGGGCAGGGATAATTCTAGAGATGAAGACTTTTTAAATTTTTAAATTGTTTTTATGCATTTAAAAACAATTTTCAGATGAATTCTACTGTAGGGGATTCACCTTTGTAGGAAAACATTTGTAAAATATTTAAATTTCAGCTCTTTTTCTGACAACTCGTTTTTACCTGCATTTGTTGTAATTGGTATGGAAAACAATGCCATTTTCTTATCAAGATACTCTGAAAATTGTAACTAGCTAACATAACTATATACTATTGTATTATAGCAACTGCATTACAAAGTAATATTCAAATAAAAAAGGTCAATTTTTGTTTTCAGAGATTTTTCTGTGGTTCCTATAACATTTTACTGGGCAGGAAGTATGTAAGAATTTAGGAGATGATAATATTTACACCATGAGTGTAAATTTAGGCAAGAGATTGTGAGACACAAAGTAAGCGCATAATTTCCACAAGCAGAAAAATGAAAGTAGAATTGATGTGCATGTGCTAATTCTGTAATTTCAGGTGGAGTTTTTTCCATATCCCACAGCTCCTCAGTAGGAAAAGATATTGTATCTGAAGTCATCACTTAAAGTAACATGGACTTCTTTCCAATTATCTTAAAGGAATCTTGGCCAGGTGTGAGGAGAGAGGGAAATCATACATGTCTGGGCACGTGAGCCTCTCTGTCTCCTATTGGGCAGGATAAAATTCGATTTAAATTCCAGGCAAAATCACATTAGCTGAATTGAGCAGAATTCCCCAAACACTTACCAGCAATCACTTCTCAAGTGGTCTTGTAGCTGGACTATCATCACAAGTGAACAAGTTTCCTGATTCACTACAGGAGGTGGCTATGGGACCTGAGAGAATGGGGAATGAATGCTGTGATGTTAATCTTATCTTATGGATTTTTGTTTTTGTTTTTTGGCTGTTGTTGTTTGTTTGTTTTGAGAAGGTCTCACTCTGCAGTCCAGGCTGGTCTTAAACTTTTGATGATCCTCCTAATTCAGCCCCTCTCTCTGTCTTTCTCCTTTTTTTTAAATCGTGGAGAATGCAGCTACTTCTGATGAACTACAAACCTAAAATACCTAAGCTATGAACCTTGGAACTGAGAGGAGCAGGGATTTCTAAAAGCGAGCATGGCCTCATCAGCACATTCTTTCCTCCTCACAAGCAGTGTCAAACCACGTGCCCACTGCATTTGGTGAGGAGTCAGAAGGGCTGTGTCTATAGACCCCGTCTTCCACTTCGTTTCAGTCTGAGACTCTTGTCTTCCTCCTTGTTGGAGGAATAAGAGGCAGCAACTGGAAAACCTACCAATGCTGAACAGATTATTCCCTTCACCTTTTCTGCTTGTAATCCACATCACAATATTCACTGTTTGGTTAAAATTGCTGAGTTCCACAAACTATATTTTCACTTTGACTTATGAAGGCTATTTGGCACCTTTCCACAGTATATAGTGATCCATAAAATACTAGTTGCCTTCATATAAAGTAAATATATAATATTTTCTGAGGGAACTGAGCCAGACACTACAAGAGGATGAAATCAGAAGACTGCTGCTTATTGCTGTATCACATATCTCTTGACACCAGGGATTTTCTCTCAGAATTTAGGCATTGGAAGGTTAACTTTGCAACTTCTCCACAAGTTCTTCAGGGGAGCCCCAACAGTAAGTGAAGTGGAGAGACAGGATCAAGTTTCTAATGCAACAATAGTGAAATTAGGGGCTGGATTTTCCATCAAGGCCTTGCACTGAGTAACTCTTAAAAACATCAAAAATAGGTGCTAGGAAAAAACATAAACTTATGAATCAAGAAAACAATTTAAAATAGTAAACCTATGATTTACACTCAGCAGTCATAAAAGCAGGGTAAATATTAACTAGGATTTTCCACGGTGTTATAAATTGCAGATGGCATTTCAGTGGGTTTCAAACACTTCTAAGGTGAACTCCCTTTTCCTTGTATCTTTTACTTAGAACACTAATAAGTAATTCAGGAAAATAAATTCTAAAGAAAAAAATAAGAATGACCACCCCATTTTCCTCTCACTGTTTTTAATAGGCATGTCTGATTACAACTGTGACCGCAAATCAGGAAGGTTAATTAACTAAAGCAAATATTTTTTCCTTTATCTTGTTCTTAAAAATCATTTTGGGCCAGAAATGCAGCTCAGTGATACAGCACCTGCCTGGTAAGTGCAAGGTCCTCAGTTTGATTACTGGTACTGGAAGAAAAAAAGTTATTCTTACTTTTAATATATGATCCATGCTTATGGTTAAAAAGCCCAAGAGCACAAAAAAGAGTAGACATTAGTGGTTTCAGGAAGGAAGCTGACAGTTTCCACATGTCTTCTCTCTTAATAAATCACCCCAAACAAGACAGAGAAACAGAAGGGAAATCTCCTTTAAGACAGAATTGGAGGAAATTAAAACACTGAGTCAGAGTGAGTAGGAAAGGATTCCTCAAAGGTACCGGACAAGAGCACCTGTCTGTTAGCTCCCCTATTTTGTCCCTGAATCATAGTGTGGGCCCCCAGTATGCTTTATTGTGCTGCTTTTAGAGATAATTTGTGCAATTACAAGCACAAATTCGTACTTCTTTTTCTGTGCTAACACCTTTATACACCTTTACATGCAATTCTGCGCTTGCATACTTTTAAATGTTCCCTTTTCGTATTAGTTGGAGTCACTTTGCAAGTTTTCTTTACTGGGTGTGTTTTCACCTAATTCATGTTGACATAGTCACATGGGGCGTTTATAATAATTCAGTGCTACAAGTGTTACTCCAAGGAATAAGTTGTGCACCCATCATTGAACACTTGCTTAAAGAAAAAATAAACTCCTATAAGGAGAATTGCCATTTTGACTGGTGTAATTTTGATACAAAACTTAATACATCATTTTCAAATGCATAAAAGTTGCTTGAATTAATAATTTAACTGACAATGAAAGAGTGAGACTCTTTACACTTGATATTTATTGAGCATGTTTTAAACTTTATGACTTTTCCTAATCTGTTAAGGCTCATACCAAAGCTTAATTTGTGGCTGCCCTACCATAAATGAAGCTACCATTTGTAATATTTTTGCAATGAATATGTTACATGTTTTGTTCATTTTTTCTACTGAACCATCTATTAAAATTGATTTGTAGAAACTTTGTTAATTATCTGTGATATGAAACTCAAATATTTTCATGAGTTTGTTTTAGGTTTTGAACTATTTTTATTATATTGTGAACTATAACACAAACATGGGATTTATACAAAATATAAATATACTACTTAAATAATTGAGCACATGCATAGCCAACATTAGATTGAGACAGATGTCAATGCCTCTGTATTCTCCTTGCAATAAAAACTTTCTCCTCACAAAGCTAATCATTGCTTTGACTCTTCTTTATTCTTTGTGCATTCTTAAACTCTAGAATTAATGGTATGCTCTTGAAGTGTATAGAAATGACATCATCTAATCTTTTGACCTTGGAATCTTTCAAGTCTGGAGTCTTTTATTCAGTAGTGGGTTTTTATTCAGCATCCAGTCAACTCTGCTTTGAATGTAACCATAACTTGCTCATTTTGGGCATTATGTGGTTCATATTTTATTGTATAACATACCATCATCTAGGTGGTTGATATTTTATTATATGACATAACATCATCTTATCATTTACTTTCTATTCTATTTTTGATGGGCATTGCCTTTTGCCTTTGCAAATAATATTGTTTGCCTTGAGATTACATAAAACTTTTATTTTACTAATTTTTTATCTTTATTTGCTATAATCAATGCATTTTTATCAATCTTTGTTTTGTTTTAACTTTAAGATCTAAAGTTTTGTATCATAAATTTATCATATATGTATGAAATTTGTGCACAGAAATCTACTAAACTTTTGTATGGTATTTATTAAATACACTTCTCTTTCCTTACCCAAAATTGTAGTAACTTTATAACAGTTTAATTGTTATTTGTATATACACATTTATGTTCTTGTGGTATTTTTCTGTGATTCATGGATCACATTATTCAAATTATTTTGGCTGTATAATACAATCATATATATATATGTATATATATATATATATATATATATATATATATTTGTATAGCATAGTCCCCTATTCCTTATTTCTTTACTCTTAATATTCAAGGATATGTTTGCTTCCTTATTTTTCTGTGTGAAGTTTATAGAGAATTTATATCTTTCCAAATAGAAGACTACAGTATTTGTCTATCAGTATATTTGATTTTTAGCATATCATTGATGATGCTTAAAAAGAAAGTTTTTCATATTAAATCTTCTTTTTTAAGGTCTAAAAAAATTTAAAAGACTGCATATTTTTTGCAGATTTATTGTACTTGCTAATCTACACAGTACCTGTTGGTCCAGAAGAACTTCCGATTATTTGAATGTATAAAGGCTACTGACTTTTTCCAGTACTTTGAGGGGTCAGAAATGGTTTGAACTTTAAAGTGTTTATAATAGTTTTGACCTAGATTCTAATTTTTTATATAATATTTGGGCATAATTATTTCATTTCCTGGTTTTTTCTTATCTTATTTTTTGTTGGGATTTCTGAAACTATATTATGTGATAGCAGTTATAGCAACTTATTATTTTATTCCTGATATTAATTAGAGTGATATTTAGTGTTTCTCCAGTGAATTTAGGCTATGATTATTTATGTTTAAAAGTATTACTTCATTCCTACTTTATTGTGTTTGTCTTTTACACACAAGAATAGATTAAATTTTTATACAGTTATATAGCATGAATGTTTTCTTTTGATTTGCTTACACAGTAAATTATATTAAAGAATTTGCTATTATTGACATTTTTTGAAATTTTAAATTCCATGTTGCAGTTCTGTTTTATTTTCCAAATACACTATTAAGTTTTATTGGGATGTTTTAAAATAGTATGTCTCATGATGGGATTGACCTGGAGCTTTATATTTTTATATTAACTGTAAGCATTTTGGTAGCTGTATTATAGCATTTCCAAAGAAAGAATTTTCAAGGTCTTTTTTTTTTTACCTTTTCTTGTGCTTTAGACATATTTAAGATATTAACCATTTAAATTAACTATGCTTTAAAAGTTAATCAAAATTTCCTGGAAAATCTGTGCTTTATGCTTTTGAGGAAGGCAGGTGTTTGAAACATACCCCCAACCCCCCACTTTTCCACCCCTATGTACCCTTCTCACCTGTTGCTTAAATTCTCTGTTTTTACAGGAATTTTGCTCAGCAGTGACCACTGAGAATCAGTTGACAATACAGAAATTATATTTTTAGAAGCACTGTTGACAGCTCATTGGGTACTTTACATTCCTTGGTTGAGCTTTTGTAAAGTTAAAGTTACAAAAATTGCAAATTTAAAATATGTGTCACAGCACTTCTAAGACAAGCTCAGAAGAGTGCTTGACGGTAACTGTGCCACTCACTTTCAACCACGGAGTTTGCAGGAAGATTGGAGTGACAGGAAAAGACGAGGAAGGTTTTCAAAGAGTGCAGACAACATTCAAGATCCTTCACAGTGTACACACACACAAAATAAGAGTCTCATCTGCGAGAAAGTTACTTGGCCGAAAGCAATTTACCACTTACTGTTCTAAAACTCGGTCTTTCACCATTGAAGATCACAAATTTCCAGATCTTCTTCACTCAGCTTCACATCATCATAACTATAACACCCTGACCTTTCCCACCAATGCCAGCCCTCTTATCATTTTGGATTATGGGCTCATACATAGTGTTGATCTTTTGCGTTACCCAAAATGTTTTGTGCTATACAAGCCTGTAGCTGAAAGTAAGTTAGACAAATGGAATGAAAGGCAGAGCAGAGAAAA